AGAATCCCAACATATGTTGCTGAAAAATAACAATATTGCATGATAATCGCATATCCAATGGTACGCCATCATAAGTTACATATTCTTCGTGTAAATGATTTCGCTAAAAGAGTAAGTGGAATTTAAAAACGAAATTCAATTTGTAGTTTCTATGTACTATTGACCTGAGCCACATCTGGAAGGATATTGTTCTGACAAATGTGATCCCGTACAGCTTAACAATCAGAGCTTATCACGGAAGAAAGTAGATATTGTGCTGGCACAAAGGGATCGTTTATTTTAGATAAAACCTTATATATATATATATATATATATATATATATATATATATATATATATATATATATATATATATATATATATATATATAACCCAAAGAAAACAATTAAAATCATCAAATCAAAACAGTTTTGATCTTAGAAGTCTCGAATACAATTAAAAGGAAAATGAAGATAAAATTATTTACTTTACAATTCCAGACACATTAAGAATTTTTACAAATCAATTTATCGCTTTTGTAAAGTACAGTGGTAACAAATGAAAGCATGATTTCCATAGTAATGCAAGCACCTGCTTAGCATGGTATGTGCTGTTTATACCCATATTACTCATACAAGTACGAAATGTCTGAATATGCCAATCAGATTGATTTTCTTATAAAATTAATTGCTTCCTTTGTTAACTTTCTAGATAATGATGGGAAAAACTGATTCTAAAAGAGACTTATTTCACTTCGTTACTATCAGGGCAAATAGTTTATCCAGTTTAATTTTACTCTGCCCGATAGTTTGGATAATAAATAATGACAGAAAAACGAACACAAAGACAGAGAGATGGACCGAATATCAATAAATATTTGACGATCTCTCACAGAATAATAATAATAATAATAATAATAATAATAATAATAATAATAATAATAATAATAATAATAATAATAATATCATCACCATCGTCGTTATCTTTGTCGTCGAATGCATCGTCGTTGCCATATGCTTATAATTAAAGACAGCTATATCGATTTACATTATAAGGGAGATAATGAACTTACGATAATAGGAGATTACTTCTGAATGGTTTTGGGGAGATGTCATCGCTGCAGCAAGTGACGGTATTGTAGTGGTTGTCGATGATCCCAGATCTATAATGAAATTGTATCGATTGGTAAAAGTAGATGTATGAAGTTCTGCAGGTACTACCGTATCTGTATATTGCAAATAGAGACTATTGTTGTAATCTAGCTTTTGTTCATCTAGCCATTTTAGTCTGAAACAAATCCCAGTGGCGTGTGTGACATTTATAGCTCAACGGCCAATTGGAAAACGTTAAGAAATAACCATAAACAGTACTTAGAAATGCAATGATAAAACCATCGGCTGTGTGTGTGTGTGTGTGTGTGTGTGTGTGTGTACTTTTGTACTACTACTGGATATATGCAGAAGGATTAAATAATAAATGGAGGAAGAAAGAAATAAACGAATAATTTATCTGCTTATAATTATGATACAACTATTCAACAACGCACAATTGTGACGTCTCTAGTGCCCGAAAAGCTTTTTCACTTTATACACAATTTTGTTTAAATGAAGTGACCTAAATGCTAACAAAACAACGGTAATTAAACTACTAAAGGGTATGTGGCAGTATATTTTACTTTCAGGTTCTAATAACTAGTCCTGGGTTGTCCTTAGCTTTTCACTCTTGTGTATTAAGCCAACCATAGCCCAATGTAGGTAGACTCATGGGCCAGCTCTGTACCACATCCAAGAGCTACACGAAACTATGGTGGCCCTGGACTGGCACATGATCAGCCTAACTTGCAAGAGAAAATTAAAAAAAAAAAAAAGCCAGGTCTAAGGTCACCCTATGGTCTACCCTGGGGAGGAAAAATTGCTTGTTTGGGAAAAGGTTAAAAAAAAAAAAAAAGAACTTAGCGCAAAATAATTTATCTTTCTTCGACAACTCCGTCATCGCTAAAATCCCCCCGTCACATGCAAGGAAGGAAATTAAAATTTCCACAATCCATGTGAAGAAGTTCCTTGTAAGTCTAAAACTTGAACGCAAGCTTTACTTCCCGAATCGTGACCAAAACTGTCACAACTGACGAGACAGGACGAGTGGTGTTTATAATTGAGCTAAGTCGGTGTTTACATTTATAGATTTTAAAACCAGCCTACTTATCTTCCATTAACTTGTTTGTTAACCTACTTTGATACACAAAACACAGAGAAATAATATACGCTTGCACGTAATGACATACATACATACATACATACATACATACATACATACATACATACATACATACATACATACATACATACATACATACATAAACATCGGCATCCGACCGGTTTAACAGACAGATTGATAATTCGTTCGATGAATTACTATTTTTGTGCTGGAATACCCATTAAACGAGTTTTTTTTAAAAAAAAAAAAAACAACTCTTACTTTTTTAGCCTAATTTGGAAAGTAGCTTTCATATGCCGCTTAATGACACGATTCAGACTGCGGCTTTACTGGTTAGTAAGTGGTCTCATACTTATCCACCCTAGTTTGAGATCTAGCCCTAAATCTGACCCCAGGCTCACCTCTCGGAAACGCATTCTACGCTGCTCCACCGATAATGAGAATCAGAACGATGCCATATATTGACAATACAGCCACCAATGAATATCAAACCCAATACTTCTGCAGCACACATAACGCGTGACTGAAAGATATTGCTCAGCTAGGTTGTTTAGTAAGTAGCCTTAAACTACTTCATTTATATTGCAATACAATTTGACTGCATACATAACCTTTTTTAATTTTATTTTTATAGAAAATACACCTCATGAATTCGTACACGAGTTTCTTCCACCATTAGCGAGTAACATGCATCTTATTGTGATTCTTGGATGTGTAGTTCACCTTAACACGTATCAGATAAGCACATATAGCTGACATTTGCACGTGCAACATCTTTCGTGTTCATCTACTCATATTAGTTTAATCCATCTTTTTGTTTGAGATGACTCATACTTAATTTTCAGACAAATTTTAGACTCGTTTTTCATACAAAAAAGAGAAAAAAAAGTTTTGTTCTAGTTCTTGCTTTTTTCCTGTTACAGCTCATTATTTATCCACCACTTGTTTCTAATGTTACGATTCAAGCATTGCTTCCTAACAATTGATTGATTGATTGATTGATTGACTGATCGATCAATTAATTGATTTACTGATTTTCTCCGTATAAGGAAGGTACAGGCAGACATATAAGAAATTTATAAAGAATTAAATTTTGCTATAGGAACTATATAGTGTAACCAATGTGACTGATGTACAAATGATACTATTTAAAGGAGAGAAAACGTAAACAGTGCATAAAAACGTGGTGGCTCAAATTGTAATGCTCTAAGGCTTTTACAGGCATGTTTTCTAATGGCTGTTTGTGCAGTAATTGAATTTTTGGAATGAGTCAATGACTTTAGATACTAAAAAGTTTTTGTTTGCGCTAACAACATATTGGGTGTAAAATGTATTGCGGTTTTGATCATAATATCTGAGTCAAAGGGAGCGTCTGCTAGAAGATTTAATGCAAAGAACACCTACGGTTTTCTCAACGTGAATCATTCAATGCATGGATCTCAAAGAAAACTATCTCCCTATTAATAATTCACTTGTAATCCAATGTCTTTATTTTGTTGGCGTTTTGGGTATATATCACATAGGGTCGGTGATATCACCATGATCAGAAAATAAAAGTTTTTCCAAGACACACCCTTCCCTTCGAGCTGCGTACAATATTTTTACCTTTGTCATTTAAACTGTCGTAGTGAGTAATTTGTTGTTTTTTAAAATCACTGTAGCTGACATTTTAAAATGTTAGCATTTGATCCATTCCAGGGATTTCGCGAGTAGAAAGCCCAAAATAAAGTAAAATTAAAGGAAAATATTAATTAACATACAGATTACATAGTTACGATAGTTACAATTCGTACCCAATCGAGAATCATATATATATATATATATATATATATATATATATATATATATATATATATATATATATATATATATATATATATGTGTGTGTGTGTGTGTTTGTGTGTGAATGAGAGACGGTGTTTCTATCTGTCTGTTCGTGCGTGTGTGTACACGATGCCTCTCATAAAAAGGTTTTTAACGTATGCATGATGGCTAGGTGTGTGTGTGTGTGTGTGTGAGAGAGAGAGAGAGAGAGAGAGAGAGAGAGAGAGAGAGAGAGAGAGAGAGAGAGAGAGAGAGAGAGAGAGACTTACTTTTACAGTAATACTTGCAGGGATCTGGAATGAAACTTGATTTACATATTGGAACTGTACAATAATTACATCTGCGTTCATCAGCGTCAGAATTACAGTACTGTTGAGGAAAAGTACATATATCCACAAAACATGGAAATCGGAATTCGTCTATATCATTCATGACGACTGTTAGTCTCTACTCAGGCCACAAGGAAATGAAACACAGAAATCCCACAGTTCTCTTTATATGTCATGTTATATTATTATGCTTACTGGGGAAAATCCAAGGCTACTAAAAATAGATCGATATGTCATACCTAAATTTACACTTGTTGAACAAGGATTGGTAATGCAGTGCAAGACCAAACAAGCGGTGGAAAGCACATGTATGAAATCAAAATGTCTCACAATTGTAGAGGATAAAGGAGTAAAGGATTAAACGTTAATCACCATCAATGAATGAGATAAAATCTGATTAAATCGAGATCTACTAATAAATATGATGAGATGTCATTATGACTTTAACGTAGCTTTAACAATTTTTCAGTCTAATCGCTACGATGTCTGCAATGTGGCAGTTTATAGTGATGTCTAGCAATGGGGCATCACGCCGCAGACATGTAGCATGATGTCCCACCCAGTCACATTATCCTGACAACATGCCGACCAGTCCTAACACTAACCTCTTAATGCTGAGCGTCAAGCGAGGCAGCTGTCAGTACCATTTTTGTAAGTCTTTGGTATGACTCGACCGTGGATCGTACCCACGACCTCCCGCATCTGAGGCGGACGCTCTAACCACTAGGACACAGGAGCGGTTTCTACTAATAAATGTATGATGTCAACTATTCTGATTTTAATGAGATTGCAAGATAACCCAAAGCGAGTAAGAAAATCAGCTGTGCAACCTAATCCTAGTTATGGACTGGCTACAAAGATTTATGGGATTTAAGAGCACAGACAAGTGTTACTATCACGTGAGACAGAAAGTGTTTGAGAACATCAAATGTAACAATTCTGAAATTCAACATCCAAACCAAGTATAGTATGCGTCACAAGAGACAAGACATGATGCTAGTTGACAAGAAGAAGAATCCAGCATTTCTCATAGACGTAGCTGGGCCATGAGACATGAAACTCTCACGCAGCATAAAAGGGACAAGATGAATAAAATAACACCTTACAGTGATGCAGCAAGAAAGGTTAAAACTGGCTGAAAATGTCAGAGACCTGCGAGCATTAGGTGCAATAACACAAGCGTTAGGAAACGTTAGAAATAATAATAAACCCTATCAACTACAGAAGCGGCAGTCCTCTCCGATCAGAAAGAAGAATTTAGAAGATCAGGACATCTAAGACACGGAAATTAGTATGATCCAAATAGTATAGACCAGCCAGAAACACGATTGAAAGGTAGTGGAAGACAAGAAGTAGTAGTAGCTGTAGTAGTACTTGTAGTAGTAGAATTTATTATTATTATTATTATTATTATTATTATTATTATTATTATTATTATTATTATTAGTAGTAGTAGTAGTAGTAGTAGTAGTAGTAGTAGTAGTAAAATTTATTATTGTTATTATTATTATTATTATTATTATTATTATTATTATTATTATTATTATTATTATTATTATTATTAGTAGTAGTAGTAGTAGTAGAAGTAGTAGCAGAAGTAGTAGTAGTAGCAGTAGTAGTAGTAGTAAAGTTTATTATTATTGTTGTTGTTATTATTATTATTATTATTAGTAGTAGTAGTAGTAGTAGTAGTAAAATTTATTATTGTTGTTCTTGTTATTATTATTATTATTATTATTATTATTATTATTATTATTATTATTATTATTATTATTATTTTTATTATTATTATTAGTAGTAGTAGTAGTAGTAGTAGTAAAAGTAGTAGTAGTAGCAGTAGTAGTAGTAGTAGTAGTAAAATTTATTATTATTGTTGTTGTTGTTGTTGTTCTTGTTATTATTATTATTATTATTATTATTATTATTATTAGTAGTAGTAGTAGTAGTAGTAGTAGTAGAAGTAGTAGTAGTAGCAGCAGTAGTAGTAGTAGTAGTAGTAGTAGTAAAATTTATTATTATTATTGTTGTTGTTGTTGTTTTTGTTATTATTATTATTATTGTTATTATTATTATTATTATTATTATTATTATTATTATTATTATTATTAGTAGTAGTAGTAGTAGTAGTAGTAGTAGTAAAATTTATTATTGTTGTTGTTATTATTATTATTATTATTATTAGTAGTAGTAGTAGTAGAAGTAGTAGCAGAAGTAGTAGTAGTAGCAGTAGTAGAAGTAGTAAAATTTATTATTATTGTTGTTGTTATTATTATTATTATTATTATTATTATTATTATTATTATTATTATTATTATTATTATTATTATTATTATTATTATTAGTAGTAGTAGTAGTAGTAGTAGTAGTAGTAAAATTTATTATTGTTGTTGTTATTATTATTATTATTATTATTATTATTATTATTTTTATTTTTATTATTATTATTATTATTATTATTATTAATATTATTATTATTATTATTAGTAGTAGTAGTAGTAGTAGTAGAAGTAGTAGTAGTAGTAGCAGTAGTAGTAGTAGTAAAATTTATTATTATTGTTGTTGTTGTTGTTATTATTATTATTATTATTATTATTATTATTATTATTATTATTAGTAGTAGTAGTAGTAGTAGTAGTAGTAGTAGTAGTAGTAGTAGTAGTAGTAGTAGTAGTAGTAGTAGTAGTAAAAGGCGATCGTGTAATATACGGTATGCATATATGTTCAAACTTCCTTGACTGGACGTATGAAAAGCTTAGTCAAATCAAAATTGCTGTTAGGTCTTATCTCAACTGGTTTCTATATCATTCAATGATAAAATAAGGTAAAAACGGAATGATAAATATAAATTCATTATTAAAGCTATAGTTACAATGGTACCTAGGTCTGCCAAATTGCTCTCCATTTTGACCTTCATTAGTGAATTTTGCCAACATTTTGTTTTTATCATCATCATTATAATCAGTAACTAATTTCTATTTTGTGAAAACTAATTATATTACAAAATTAGTACAACTATATTTTCAAATTCGAGAAAAAGAGTGAATCTGTCCCAAATATAAGAAAGTATATGGTGTACAAACAGTACACACAGCAAATATAGTGTTCACATACAAACATGAAAAGGTGATGTACAAACAGAACACACAGCAAATATAGTGTTCACATACAAACACGAAAAGGCAGCGACAAATCTTAATTATCTTCAGAAGATTTAGAATAAAGTTAAAACCATTAGGTTTGTGCCATCAAGACGATGTATTATAAGGAAACACAGCCAATATACAACTGAGCCCTGTGTATTATAAGGAAACACAGCCCATATATAACTGAGCCATGTGTATTATAAGGAAACACAGCTAATATACAACTGAGCCCAGTGTATTATAAGGAAACACAGCCAATATACAACTGAGCCCTGTGTATTATAACGAAACACAGCCAATATACAGCTAAGCCCTGTGTAGTATATGGAAACACAGCCAATATACAACTGAGCCCTGTGTATTATAAGGAAACTCAGCCAATATACAGCTAAGCCCTGTGTATTATAAGGGAAACACAGTCAATATACAACTGAGCCCTGTGTATTATAAGGAAACACAGCCAATATACAGCTGAGCCCTATGTATTATAATGAAACACAGTCAATATACAGCTGAGCCCTGTGTATTATAAGGAAACACAGCCAATATACAACTGAACCCTGTGTATTATAAGGAAAGACAGCCAATATGCAGCTGAACCCTATGTATTATAAGGAAATACAGCCAATATACAACTGTGCCATGTGCATTATAAGGAAACACAGCCAATATACAACTGAGCCCTGTGTATTATAAGGAAACACAGCCAATATACAACTGAGCCCTGTGTATTATAAGGAAACACAGCCAATATACAACTGAGCCCTGTGTATTAAAAGGAAACTCAGCCAATATACAGCTAAGCCCTGTGTATTATAAGGGAAACACAGTCAATATACAACTGAGCCCTGTGTATTATAAGGAAACACAGCCAATATACAACTGAGCCCTGTGTATTATAAGGAAACACAGCCAATATACAGCTAAGTCCTGTGTATTTTAAGGAAACAGCCAATATATAGCTAAGCACTGTGTATTATAAGGAAACACAGCCAATATACAGCTGAGCCCTATGTATTATAAGGAAACAGTCAATATACAGCTGAGCCCTGTGTATTATAAGGAAAGACAGCCAATATACAACTGAACCCTGTGCATTATAAGGAAAGACAGCCAATATGCAGCTGAACCCTAGGTATTATAAGGAAAGACAGCCAATATACAACTGAGCCCTGTGTATTATAAGGAAACACAGCCAATATACAACTGAACCCTGTGTATTATAAGGAAAGACAGCCAATATGCAGCTGAACCCTATGTATTATAAGGAAAGACAGCCAATATGCAGCTGAACCCTATGTATTATAAGGAAATACAGCCAATATACAACTGTGCCATGTGTATTATAAGGAAACACAGCCAATATACAACTGAGCCCTGTGTATTAAAAGGAAACTCAGCCAATATACAGCTAAAACTGTGTATTACAAGGGAAACACAGTCAATATACAACTGAGCCCTGTGTATTATAAGGAAACACAGCCAATATACAGCTAAGTCCTGTGTATTTTAAGGAAACAGCCAATATATAGCTAAGCACTGTGTATTATAAGGAAACACAGCCAATATACAGCTGAGCCCTATGTATTATAAGGAAACAGTCAATATACAGCTGAGCCCTGTGTATTATAAGGAAAGACAGCCAATATACAACTGAACCCTGTGCATTATAAGGAAAGACAGCCAATATGCAGCTGAACCCTATGTATTATAAGGAAAGACAGCCAATATACAACTGAGCCTTGTGTATTATAAGGAAACACAGCCAATATACAACTGAACCCTGTGTATTATAAGGAAAGACAGCCAATATGCAGCTGAACCCTATGTATTATAAGGAAAGACAGCCAATATACAACTGAGCCATGTGTATTATAAGGAAACACAGCCAATATACAGCTAAACCCTGTGTATTTTAAGGAAACACAGCCAATATACAGCTAAGCCCTGTGTATTATAAGGAAACACAGCCAACATACAACTGAGCCCTGTGTATTATAAGGAATCTCAGCCAATATACAACTGAGCCCTGTGTATTATAAGGAAACACAGCCAATATACAACTGAACCCTGTGTATTATAAGGAAAGACAGCCAATACGCAGCTGAACCATGTGTATTATAAGGAAAGACAGCCAATATACAACTGAGCCCTGTGTATTAAAAGGAAATACAGCCAATATACGGCTAAACCATGTGTATTATAAGAAAGCACAGCCAACGTACAGCTAAGCCCTGTGTATTAAAAGGAAACAGCTAAAATACAGCTGAGTCCTATTGCATTATCAGGAAATACAGGCAATATACAGCTGAGTCCTAACTATTATAAGGAAACACAACCAATATACAGCTGAGCTCAATGTATTAAAAGAAAACAGCCAATATACAGCGGAGCTCAATGCATTATAAGAACACACAGCCAATATACAGCTGAACCGTATGTATTATAAGGAAACATCCAATATACAGCTGGGCTCTATGTATTATTTGTTACCAATGTTTATCATTGGTTTACACTCCCTTCATTCAGAGGTTAATAGCTTGAGCAGCATACAACTAATTACTGGAAATAGTGCAGAAAATCATCTTGTATCTG